TGGGGAGGCACAGGCAGGTGGATCTCTTGAGTTCAAGGCCAGCCTGGTCTATAGAGAGAGTTCCAGAACAGCCAGAGCTACACAGAGAAACCCTGTCTTGAACAATGCAATGAAGTGAAAGAAAGAAAGAGCAAAAATCATTTGCATTTCAGTGATATCACTTTGATAGGGGAATATTATTGGATGACAGATTTAGTATTAACGTTGCCTTCAACCAGCTTCCTTCTGGACCTTCCTCTGTCTCTTCATAAATTGAAGGATTTGAATATTCAGTTATATCACTTTTTGTTCTGAAATTTTTTTCTTTCCCATGTCCAAATCAGATCTACAGTTGCGGTTCAATTGTTAATTCATTGCAAAGAAATAGGTACAGCAGGATAATTTCTTTGATTTTAGATGATTATGGAGATACAATATTAATTATTATATCAAAAACAGTTAATGTAAAGCAAAGAATACTTTTTTTCATTTTAAATGTAAAGATTGCCAACCGACAAACAAAACATGTTACAGAATTAAACATTACAATGAATTATAAATTATTAGTGTTCTCAAAGAGTTCTCTTTTTTAATGAATCAATTTACTTGTCAATAGCCGTTTGATGGTCTGGAGCAGTTGACGGCTTTTGCTGTACTCTTAGAGCAATGAGGCCTCCATTTTCGCAGCTCTTTCTTGACTGATGCATGCTCCTTAGTGCCACCTGATTCTATGTGGTGACCTTGGGATCCTTAGCTTTTTTGTTCATGTTGTATCAACAAGGACACATTAATGTACTATTGATCTGTCCTCATTCCACCAAATTAAGTGGGAAGTAGTTTATTTCTTCTTTAAACCATTTTTATTTTTATTCTGAGAAGAAACTGTCTTCCATCCTCTCCACATGCCCCTCATCTTGGAGTGTGCATGTGCCTGCATGCCATTACTCATGTCGTGCCCAGTGAATTTTTCTGAGTCCTTTTGTTCTGCTTATACATACTCACCAAAACCAGAAGTGATGCTGTTGTGTGCCACAGAGGGACACAAACATTGCAAGAACTATTGGCACTCCAGAACTGAGGGGTCACCCTTTCAGTCCGTCATCTAGAATAGTGCTCTCATCGTATACTAGTCAAGTCATGACTTGTCCATCTTTTCTCTTTCCTCTATCCAGTGTCAGGGAAGTATCTTTTCTCAAATACAGTTGCTCTGCTGCTTAACCAGCATTTCCCATTTATTTTTGCTAAAAGATGCAGTGCTTCTTTGCAATAAAATGGTTTTGGTAGTCTCCAAAAGATAGGAAATATAAAACAATTTTTTTTCTTTTTCTCTGTGCCGAAAAAAACCACACAAGAAACATATATTCTAAAAAACACCTGCCTAAAAAGAGAAGGAAGAGTGCAGGAGATAACAAGCACACCTCAGAACTCATCCTGGCACAAGGAGTGGGATGGAGGGAAGGGGAAGAAGACTTAGAGCCTGAGAGGAGAGGAAGGAGAGAGGAAGAGAAGGAGCATGGATGAAAGACATTTTCCCTAGGACCTGATGGATCCCAGTGGGGATGGATGATCTACAGTTACACTTCATGGTTTGACGTCTACAGTGTCATCTCTGCTGTGCTTCGTGGTAGCTATCCACAGTTTTATTTGTTCTCCTCCTCGGTCATTCCCTCTCCTTTTAATTTGTTTAGGAAGAACACTGGAGGAGTTGATCAAACAGCCTTGGTGTCATCTCAGTTGCTGACTCATCTTTTGCCATTTTCTTTTGTAAAAAACTGACTATTTCCACTTGTCCATTTTCCTTCCCTGCATTTTCCTTAGAGCAGGCAGGATACCTCTCATGCTTGGTAAACTGTAAAATCACTTCCATTTCTTCCTGGAGAAACTCCTGAAGCTCAGGGAACTAAGATGATGTAGTCAGGGCTATGTAGTTAATAAGTGAATTATCCTGAACAAATTCAATATCAACAGTAAGTTTGATTTTTTTTAATTAAGTAAATTGTAGTAGGTAACATGAGATTACATTTGTGACGTATTTATAGAGGAGGCTTATGAAAAGGGTCATTTGAAACATGTTGATGTGTTTTGTAAATTACTAAGAAAAGGGTGCATCAAGGATAAAGTTTCCTACTATATTATCAACTTGTGAGAATGAAAAATGTCACCTAATGTCATATTAACTATCCATGAGAATGAAAAAATTATAATGCATATTATAATTTTAAAAGTGAAAAGTGATGGCTCAGGTCACCCATTTCCCCAGGACGGGTGGTACTGTTCACTTCTTGTTTCATAAATCCCATTTATCTCCCACTTTTTGCTTGCTGTGTTACATTTGTCTAGTAATGAATGATTTTTCTTCTCATGCAGAAACTTTCTTGATTGATAGTACATCTCAAGGAGAGAGATGGCTCAGCGGTTAAGAGCACTGACTAATGTTCTAGAGGACCCAGGTTCAATTCCCAGGCCATCTGGTGTCCAGTTACACAAGGATAAAACAAAACAAAACAAAACAAACAAACAAACAAACAAAAAACAAGGAAGATAGTACATCTCCAAGAACATAATCATGATATATTTAAAAATTAATAGTGTAAATTGTAATCATCATCTCACATATTCCAGAATGCTTTTAAAAAAGGGAAACATACCTTTTAACAAACTTTTTAGGATTTATTTGACTTGGCATAAGTTAATCATTTGAAAATTATTTATTTAAATCCAGTGTTCCGGGCAATATTTGATGTTGATACTATATGAGCTTTGCCTGGGGAAAGTTCTTGGTTTAAATTATGCTGAACTCATGACTTTAAAACAGAAGTAAGGATGGATAGAAGATTTGTAACTTAGAAGATTTTTGCTTACTCACTAAGAGCATGAAGGTATACACTGGGAAAGAAAGTTATCCGATCCTGAGATTTGTGCATGTCTTTCTCCTTTAAGATATTTATTTGCTTATATTTCATGTGCATGTGTGTTTGTTTGCATGTATGTCTGTGCACAGTACACATCCCTGATGCCAGCAGAGGCCACAAGAAAGCTTTGGATTTTCTGGAATTGCAGTTACAGATGGTTAAGAGCTTCCGAGTGGATGCTGGGAACTGAAACAGAATCCACTGGAAGAGCAAACAGTGCTCTTGACCACTAAGTCTTCTACAGCCCCTCCAAATGAGAATTTCTTAAAACGTAAAATTACTGTTTAAAGTAGTGTAAAATATATATCCATGCTTTTTGTGCCAATGCTAGTAGAAGTATAACCTTAAGTTCTGTAAATTTTTTATGCTGGGGCTGGGGAAATGGCTAACTTTAAAAACAACTTACCATACATGTGTGAGATCCTGAGTTCAAAGCCCCAGAGCCCACATAAAGCCAGGCACATGTACCCATCCAGTACACACACGTCCATATACTTGCACCAGACATGTGATACAGAATCATAGATTATATACACACCACATAAAAAAACATAAGTAAAAAAATTGTGTCAATGCTGCTTGTACATTTTTTTTTTACCATGTTTAGCTCACTTTGTTTCATGGCCATCTTCTTTCTTTTTTAGTGAGAAGACTTCCTCCAGATTAAGTAGGTTTTAATGTTCAAGGAGTAGACACATTTTAATCCATTTCAGGAATTTCCCTTCTTGTGAAGTTTGTTCATACATTTTTCAACATGTGTACTTAAATATATTTTTAATTCTGGTTGATAATTCTCATTGTATCCAACATCACTACATTGTCTTTATTTTATATTATGAGTGACCTTATTAAATAGTCCATTAAACTAAACACATGACTTTGGGAGGGTGTTCAGATTTGCCTAACTTCCAAATCAGTCCTAACCAACTAATTTGCTCGCTGTTTCTTATGGTCTAGATCTGGGGCCCTGCTCAACTGTAATTTTACAATTCTGTTTACAGTGTGACCAAGTAAGATAACTACTTTGTATGTCTGGGAAGAACTACACATTTAAAGATATGCATCTAGGGCTGGAGAGATGGCTCAGCCGTTGAAGGCTAGGCTCACAACCAAAACTATAAGATATGCATCTAAATATATTCTAGTGTTCTGGTAGACTTATTGGCAAATCTTTCGCTCTCCAAAGAGTCATGGTTTGGATGAGAAATAATATTCAATTAGGCAGTATGGAATGGCATATTCTTTGTATTTTCTTTCTAAAAATTATTTTTTTCATTTTTGAGACTATAGTATAACTAAATCATTCCCTCCTTCTCTTTCCTCCCTTCAGACTTTGCAGTATACCTCTCCTTGCTCTCCTTCAAATTCATGGCCTCCTTTTTTCATTAATTGATATTACGTATATATTTATATACATGACTATAAACTGCTCAGTCTGTGTAGTTTCTTTTATGTCTTTTATTATTCTTGCTTTTAAACAATAGAAACATTTAAAGGTATTAGAATTGTGTTAATTTGGTGATTATTTTCAAAGATATGTACCTAATTTAATGACAAGCTTAGAATTTGTCTCAGGTATTTAGACATAAGAAGCTTTTGACTTTTTTGTCTTATATATGTTAAGTTTTTTATTTTTCAGATTGTATTTTATTTGTTCTGCGACTGTTTTTAGGAATAACTATTCTCATTCCCACCTTCATGAATATATCTAGATTTCATTGCAAGTATTTAATGAAATCAGTATGATAGGAGCCACTCCAATTTTAAGCCATCTCCAATAATGTGACGTTATTAGAAGTAGTACCAGTTTTCCTAGCTATAAAGCACTAAAGCCAGCATCATGGCAGAGTGGCCAGTTTGACCTCATGGGGAAATATTAATATAACTTGGTTTTCTAGTGGATTTTGCTGATATTTTGATGAGGTTTCCTTTTTTAAAACACTTAAAGCTCAAAATAAAGCCCAGTCTCATTTCTGACAATTTGAATTTAAGGCAAACAGCACTATTTTATGTTTGTTCCTAGTTGTCTACTTCTACAAATTAAAGGAGTTAAAAACAATGTTTTTATGTTCATGCTAAAGAGTAATTTTCTTTTTCTATGTTGGTAAGGTTTTTCTAGATATGACATTTGGTTCAGGAGGACACACAAAAGCCATTCTGCAGAAGGAACCCGATATTACTGTCTATGCTTTAGACCGAGACCCAACAGCTTATGCACTTGCTGAGCAGCTTTCCGAAGTGTATCCGTAAGTAATACTGTATTTACTTTTGGTACCGAGTTTTACCAGGTTTGGTTTATCTCCCTGGAATTCACTTTACCTTGAATATTGTACTATTTTTTCCTAATTGGCTATTTCACTGTTCACACACACCCCTGCAAAAGACAGGGGTGTAAACAATGTCTACAATGCCACATAGAGTAATGACATTAATGCACATATACTTTCTAAATCTGTGAGAATAAAATACAAAACAATGACTCCAGTATATAAGATTAAATATATGTTGAAAATTTCCAGAAATACTATTTTGACAATTAGCATACTGTCAGGAAATCATTCTTGTTAGCTGTATTTAGTGATGTTTACTTCTAGTATGTACTGCTCACCAAGCAGAGACACGTGGATCTCAATCTTGAGACCGGGAATGTAAGGCCTACCTGGACAAGATATCAAGACATCTTCTGAAAATATTACACAATACAATACAATGAAAAACTTTAGTAGTTACTTTCTAGAAATTAAGCTGATTGAAGTAGGAGATCTCACAGAGTATTTATATCTGACAATAATACACCTGCTTCTCTGAATTTTCTGAAATTCACATTCAGACAGTGATTTATCCTTTTGCTAGAGCTGGTAGGCTCTCACACTGCCACTTTTAAAATAAATAAATGGGATCCCAGAGATGGTTCAGCAGGCAAGTGTGCATGCCTCCAAGCCTGACTAGCTGAGTTCAGTCCTTGAGTCTCATGTGGTGGGAGGACAGAGCCAAGGTCTGCACATTGCCCACTGATCTCTGATCTTCCCATACGTGCAATGGCTTGAATACTCACATGTACCCACACTCGTGGGCAAACACACACACACACGTTAAATAGTGTCTTAATTTGTATTATGAGCAATCATTAGAGAATCGTGTGAATCATACAGTAAAATCTGCATCGGATGGTGTTTATAATACTGTACTCTAGAAGAGAAAGTGTCATGGAACTTAGCTGACTGTTTCCCAGTTTAAGGACTATTTTCAGGAATAGAGATTTTTAGTCTCTCACCCTCAGCACCTGGAATCAGGACAACAGACTGGAATTTGACTCTATGAGAACTCGTTATTACTTAGCACTATCTAACAGTGAAATGGTGTCTTTGGTCAAATAGCACAGTATGGCCACGGGGAAGTTCATCTAGAGTCTAAGAGTAGAATCATTCCACATTCAGGTGGAGAATGTTTCCCGTGCTTTCAACAGATTGTGCAGATCTAAAGAGAAAGATTCATGCTCTCAATGAAATTCTCAGTAATGTACATTCTTCTGAAAGTCCGTCAGCTTGATCTCATTTTCTCATTTTCTCTAGAAATATTATGAAAATGTGGTTAAACAACATAGTGCTTTTAAAAAAAATTTTTTAAGTCTTTCTCATTTCTTCAATGTAACATAGTTGTATTTGTTTTCAGTAGATTTTATTTTACCAAGCATAATATTTTCATTTTGTAGATGTGGAAGCTATTAGTGTTAGACATATAAAAGTTTGAAAGAAAGAAAAATTATCTAGCTGTTTTTATTAAAAATTCCCAGTTAAACAAAAGAATATAAGGGAAATAATTTACATTTATTTGATTATTCCTTTGTACATGTGCGTGCCACAGTGCAGCTGTAGAGTTCAGAGAACAACCTGTGGGAACAACCTCTCTTTCTACAATGTGAGGACTCTTGTAAAGGGTCCGTTTTCAGTTCCCAGACCCATGTAGGGCAGCTCACAACCACCTGTAACACAACCTCCAGAGGATCCAGTACCTCTGGGTTCTTCTGACAGCTGCACTCATACATGTACCTCACTCCCACCCCTATACATATGCGCACACACATGCACATAATTAAATATAAAAACGTAACATGTGATGTGATAAAATAGCTACGTGTAAATTTAAATATCCATGTAAATTTAGATATCTGTTATAAGAAATGGTGGTAAAACTCCATTCACAAGAGGCCCTAAAAGTAAATAAAATTGTTACTAATAAGTTTATCAATTTTTCTCTTTCAGATAAAGTGTAACTTTATTAAATGAAGTACAAGATCTGAACAAAGGGAAACATTTGTTTGGGGGTAGAAGAAATTACTCCTTCTGAAAACCTATTTTTTTCTTGAAAAACATTTATCTATGTAATCCACCTCCAGAAAGCATCTCAATTTCATCTTAACTGATATTTGTTTTTTTTTTGAATGATGTGATATTTTATTTATAGTAGATAGAAAGGACTTCTTTTTGAATAAAAAACAGAGGAAGCCTATATTGGCAGATGTCAGGTAATACTGTAAAATGACTATAATTAATCAGTACGGCATTGTCATGAGAATAGGCCCAGTGAGTTCTTAGAGATTCTGGAAACAGAGTCCACTAAGTAAAACAATTTAAAGAATGACAAAAATATTTATACTTATTAGTAAAATAGCATATTATTAATAAATAGGACTGATGTGCCTTTCAGCTTTACAGAAAAAAAATGGACCTCTATTTTTATATTACATTAAAAAGTGACTTCCAACAGAGGGAAAATGTGTGAAAAAATGGTAATAAAGTTCCTAAAAGTAAACTGAAGGAACAATAAATAGTTAATTTCAGTTTGAGAAATTGCCCTAATCACACTCACAGATCTATAAATCATAATTTAGAAATCATATTCTATAAAATAGAAAATCCTGGTTATAAAATGATACACCAATTTTTAAACAGTAAATTTGAGAATGAAGTATGATATATATTAATATAGAATGAGATTTTAAAAATTGATAAGGAGCACAAAATCCAACTGTCAAAATGGACATAAAAATTCTTGTTAGATTTCTTCACAGAACACTTTGAAAAGATGATCCAAGTTAGTAGTGGTAATGAAGGTAATGAAATTATACTGGTACACTATGGAGAAGTATAATTTTGCTAATGAAGATATAGGGAACAAACACATAATAAATTTAAAGGCTATTTATAATACTAATATAAATATATGCTTTTTTGTCTAAATAAAAGAGGCAATGCCTAACAAGATACCTCCTTGGGCTTAAACATTTTATATATATATATTGTCTGCATAGGTACTTATTGAGGACTTGGTGACAGGAGGCTTTAGAGAAGAAAACAGCAGTTAAGCTATATTTGTATGACCACATATATGCATATTCATGTAAATTATAATATACAGTATATTATTGTATAGTGTATATATATATACACACACACATATATAGACACCTATATATATCAGCAGTATAAAATGGACACAAGAAAAATTTGAATGGAAGTCATTTCTGGGAATACTGGATATTTAATGAAATATTATTTTCTTAAAACAAGGAACCACAATTTGTGTTAGAGAACACAATGAAATGAGTAGTTTGTTACTTTAAAATGAACGTCTTTTGAGAAAATAATTTCTTCTCTTCATGCATTTATGTTGCTGTCATTTTAAAATGCTTTACACTTCTGAAAATTTTCATATTATTTACCCTGTCAAAACTAAGTTAGAAACCAGCATTTTTCTGAAAACTGAACAATTCAGGCAAACGCTGACTTTTCTGTTAACCAATTTTAGCTCTTTCAGAAAAGATGACATGTTAGATTTCCTGCTGTTTGAAAACTGTACCTTTCCCCACTGCCTCTGAAGACTATGCCAAGGAAACACATTTAAATTGGAGCAGTGGGGCACGCGGTTTAGTCTTAGTTTACTGGAAAATGGAGTTTCCATTTTCAGTTCAAGGCAATTTAAAAACATATAGGATCCTTTCTAATGACTTGAGGAGTAGTATGCATTTCATGTAATAGGTTCAGAAAATATAGAAATGTTTGAAGAGGGAAATAGAAATTATGCTGATTTCATTATTGGGGTTTTTCAAGCAAATTTTTAAAAGCTAGGATTTATTGCTTTCAGCAATTTAAGAACTTTCCTCCATAGCGATGTCATTGGGAATTTATCTGTATGATGCAATATATTCATAATTATGTATGTATCATCTTTACATTAGATGTTTAACATTTACCTTCTCTTCTTACTAAGTTAAAAAAAATTCTCAATTTTTGTCAGATTTGCATATGAAGTCAAAACAGGGAAAAGTCTTTAATTCATGGCTTCAAGTTGCTTCATATGTGCTTTCCACCAAATGACAGTGAATAGAAGTAATTTACGTATATTCTCTGGCGAAGCCAAAGCAGGTGAGTCTGGTTTTGCATAGCAGCTCAGGTTATGTTCTCCAGGAAGCAGAAAAAGAGAATGCCAATACTTTCTAAAAAAAAAAAAAAAAACTCCTTTTTTTTTTTCTTTTTTTTTTTTAAATTCCTTCTGGCCCCTGGGCTATAGGATGGTACTCACTGCATTCAGGGCAGGTTCTTCCCCATTAATTAATACACTACCCAGAGATGTGCCTCACTAACTTAGATGATTCTCAATACCATTAAGTTGGTAAGATTAGCCATCTTACATGATAATATTGCTAGACAATGGTAATTCCTAGTCTTCCAACTTTCCAATTTTTTTCTCCATTAACTTTATACAGCATGAACAGTTTTGATAAAATGAAAATGTTATTAAAATAGTTCCCTCTTTTAAGTACTCTGGTGCCTTTCCATTGTTCTTAAGTACAAGAGCAAGATCTTGAACAAGGTCTTTCATGATCTGCCCTAGGTTAACTGCTTGGCATGTCTCTTCTATCTGTTGTGATGACTTGTTTCATAGTTCCTTTCAATATGCTATTCTCTTTACTGTTAGGGATCTTTGAATATTCTGTTCTCACCACTTATAAACAAACATTCTCTCCTGTTGAAACATTCCTACTTCCTTTACCAAGATAACATTCATCTGGTCATGGCTGGAATTCATTTCCTCCGTAAATCATCACAGATGTTCTAGACTAGAATAATACTGATACCGTATTATCTTAGAACATACTATACTTATTAACTGTCATGATCACAACCAAAATTCAAAATTTATGAAATTATCTGATTCCTATCTATTTTGCCTTACACTGTAAGCT